TGAAAACATATATATATATATATATATATATATATACAGTATTTCTTTCAATTACTTTAACTTTATAAAACCCCCTAACTTTAACCTATCACATCATTTGACAAGCATGACACATCATGTATTTATTTGAAATAAATAAAAAGAGGTGGCAAATTTTTTGAAGAGATACTGCATTGATAACTACGACATCTTATATACGACAAAGCTTTTAGCATAGCTGCCAACTTGAAAGTCCTAGTTTACCAGAATATTTAAGGGGGTCTACAAATAACAATTTAAGGTAACTTAATTTGTTACCTTAATAACAATTTAAGGTAATATATATATATATAAAGGCAAGGTGCCAGATAAATTGCACCACTAGGACCAGTTTTCCCCCACATACTTACACAAATAATAGATAAGTGATTTTATAAAGTTATAGACAGATCTTTAAAAAAATTAGAAGTTCTAAAGTTTAACAAGATGTTTTGTTTTCCGGGAAATGATACTATTTTTAGTTACCCAAATTTGGATCTATTATTGCAATCAGAAACAGGGAAATAAACTATAAAAAAATAGAAGTTAATAATTTGTTAGTAATGGATGGCTTTTAACCCTTTCGCGCCGACTGTCACAAATACGTGCCAGCATGAAACCATATCAATCAGGGTAAAAAGATAAAGCTGGTAATCAAAGTAATTCTTTAACAGTTTATTTGTGGGCGGAGTTATAATTGTTTGATTTATTTAATTCACCATTACTTTGTTCAAAATAAAACTATTTAGTTATACTTGGACTTAACATCGATTATATGTATGATTAAACTAACAATAATTAAAGTAAAAGCAAAGTAAGTCTGTCAAATTAACAACGACTACATTTAAGTTACCGTTTTTTATTTCATTACAACTTGATTCTGATTTTGCACGAATGCTTTTCTGAATCACCCGTCCCCAAGGGGTTAACAAAACAAACTTTGAACCAAAAAAAATTAATAAAAAATTGAAATTTTTTTTTTGTTATTTACACTGGTGTGCAAAACTTAAGCAGCAAGTGGTTTTTCGGCCACAGCTCCCCAACAAAGTATAAGATAGCCATGAAATTGCAGTATAATATGCACGTAATTCAGTAGAAATTCAGTATTTCTAAAATTTGTATGCAAATTTTAGAAATAAAACAGATACCTCATCAATGGAGTCGCGTCCTCTGTACAGATGAGAGTCGTTTTAATGCTACAAGCGATTCTTAACGTCAGTTGATCTGGAGAGAGGTTGGAGGTCGATTTCATCCCAATAACATCGCAGAAAGAGATCGTTACGGTGGTCCTGGAGTTGTCGTCTGGGGTGGCATTATGTTGAACGGGCGGACTGAGCTTCAGATCTTCGACCGAGGTACTGTAACTGGAGACCGTTACTACAATGAGGTAATCCTACCCCATGTGCGTCTGTTCCGAGGGGCGATTGGACCAGACTTCATTTTTATGGATGACAATGCCCGGCCACACCGTACTGCTAATGTTCAAGAGCTACTGGAAGGTAAAGATATCACACGAATGGATTGGCCAGCTTGCTCTCTAGATCTAAATCCCATAGAGCATGTGTGGGATGCATTAAGGAGACGTCTTACGACACGACAGTATCTTCCTGGTTACACCCATCAGCTGAAAGATGCGTTAAAGGAGGAATGGAGACGCTTAACCCAAGAACTCCTGGATAATCTGGTGCTTAGCATGGAGAGACGATGCCAAGCAACAATTACAGTAAGGGGAGGGCATATCCCATACTAGGGAACATCTGCCAGTTGTACTTACGCTTCTTCAGGCAATCATGTGTAACGCCACTATATGTCAAATAAAGCCTTTTTTTGTTCCATACCCTACTTTAAGCTTTATATTCATTTCTGCGCCATTATTCTTTTACCATCGTTGAAGTACAAAATAATGTACATCATATTCAAATTTGATGTCAATCGGATGATTTCTTGTAGAGTTATGATAAAAAACGCACTTGCTGCTTGAGTCTTGCACACCAGTGTATATATATATATATATAGCACAAAAAAACAAAGAGAAAAACGGAAATAATTAATAAGTTTTATTATATATATATATATATATATATATACATAAAATCATTCTGAATTTAATTTATTAAATTAATTATAAAATGTTCAATCAAAAAATCTTACTAACACTCTGAATAGATAAAAATAATGGGGTAAATCGGATTAAGTTGGTAAGTACGTACAAACCACCTAACATGAAAAAATAATAAGTTGTTGTTATTACAACACGGACATGTTACCAAATTGTGCTGACTTTATTATGAAGCCACTTAAGTCCTTGAATTTGGGCGTATATTATTTCAGATGAGAACACTCTAGGCCTACATTTATATCATTTTATTTTATAACTGTCGTTGAACAACCGATCAAATTTTTTGGGTTTATCACAACTAATGTTCAACTCCGTAGCTTTGTAATTTTGAACTCAATCCAGAAGACAAGGGAACTCATGGATCAAGTATTAGGAGAAATTTGAATTCTTGGAGGACTTTTTGATGTAACTAACCAGCATTTGCGTTGCATGAAAAGGAAAACCACGAACAGCTCGCACAGTTAGCATGACGGCAAGGAGACTCCCATGATCCGTCTATCACTGAGGATATTTTACGTCAGTACTGTGGTCGTATCGACCAGCCATTGTTGGGATTCGAACCCGGTTCACCCCGTTGGAAGACGAACGCCCTATCCACATAGCCATCACGTCTCGGCCTACATCTATTGGAGTTGTTTGTTTTCTTTGTACGCCAAGAGAGCACTAAACTGTTATTCTCATTAACAGCTGATCGGGGGTTCGACTAACACCGTGGACACCTCTACGCATTTAATACAAAATGAGTTTCCACGACATACACTTCTCATATGAATATGTATTTTCTTTCAAATAATACATTTAGAAATTAATAAGTCTGCTTTCTATAGAAATTTGACTATTTTAAATCAATGCGATAAAATAGTGGGTTATAATTCCCCTATCCATTGTTATTTAAACTTATCACGTTGAGAAAATGAAATCCCGTGTTCTTGGATTGAGGTATGTAGTACCTTTCGCTGTCTTGGAGTTTAGGTACTTTTTGTATATATTTCTATTTCCATTATATTGAAGTATATATACGCAGAAGAGCCATTACATTATGACCACCCTCCATCTATAACAATGGGCTCGCCCAGGTTTTCATGGTTTCTCACCCAGGAACACTGTTTTCATGCGCACATTAGGACCCTAATCGTCATAGAACAATCTCTGACGTCTGTAAGAATATATATATTATAGATACATACAGGCTGTTGGAGTAAGCTATCTGATTACATAATAATTTCATGTAACGTATTATACTGAACGTAAGTTTTTAAGTAATTAGAAAATTAAGCAAATACAAAATATATGAGTTAATTTATTGAATGAACAAAAAATATCGCATGCCAGTAAATATAATTGCAGTTAATAAGTTTTTCGACCTTTGATTCCATAAATTCAAATGTAATTATTATATCGAAATAATACCCTTCATAAAAGATGCATAACATTAAATTGCTTGCATTTCAATTGAAACTCTAGGCCTTCGCAAGTTCATTAGCGGACAGAATCAATTTTATGCATTTCATTCCTAGCGTTAGGGGGTGGGCACAATTTTTGTTTTTAAAAAAAACTGCTCGTCTATTTTAAGTTTTATACATACATATGTACATAAATATACATAAATAGAAAAAATAAATATGCAAATATATATAAAAAATTAAATATGCAAATATACATAAAAAAATAAATATGCAAATATACATAAAAAAATAAATAAAAAGTTTTCTAAAAACGAAAAGTGTGCCCACCCGCTTACACTGCGTCTACCAGTTTCATAAAATTGAGGAGTGATGTAAATATGTTTCAGATAATACAAAAATTCAGCAACAATCTGAATTCTTTACAAATTATACAAACATTGAATGATTTTCAGCATCAAAGTTAATTGTTCCTCTTTGCGCCTTGATACGTTATATGCCACAGAGTATCACAGATTAAAGATCTTAACATAAATAAATTCCCAGATCTTTGTTACTCTTTGCCTAGCAAAAATTATAGATGCGAGACTGTTTTTTATCGAGTTATAGCTGCATGGGTTGTTTTAAAACTCAATAGCTCTTCTCTTATTCTTCAACACAAAGTTTGGCCATGTGGCTATGGTATAACATATTATGTTATCACAAGATCAGCAGGTGCAGCAATAGTTTACAAAATTGGCATATACAACAATGATTTGTAACAACAGAAGATATGCTATCAACGGTATCCTATACGATGCATTTCAGCGTATTTTTCATAGAACAACTCCATTTCTTTTTGACAGAAATCTTTGGGATTGTAATGGATATTATCACCATCATATTCAGCTGGCAAAATTTCTTTTGGAAGGTATTTTTGTAAGTGCTTAGTATCGCTTCCGTGGAAGTGGAACTAAAAAAAAAAAAATAACATCATTTAGGTATTGGCGAGGTGNAAAAAAAAAAAAAAAAAAAAAAACATTATTTAGGTATTGGTGCGGTATTGATTTACCTCGACACCAATTTATTTTTACAGTGGTTGGCAAGAATTTTTTTTTACAGGAAATGGCACCACTAATGAGTTTGTACCAATTTTTTTACAGTCGGAGTCCAATGGAAAAAGTTTTTTTAAAATTTTCATGGTTGTCATATTCACAATAAAACTACAATTAATTACGGAATTTTAATTAGTATAAATAATTTCAACCATATCTGGTGAAAATAAACTTGAAATACACTGAATCCGATTGCTTCTTGGTGCCAGATTACAGTGGTGCATGGCTCGATCAGGCTGGAATGATGCCGACTGGGAACGTATAGTCTTTAGCAACGAATCCCGCTTCCAACTGTGTCCTGACGATCATCGAAGACGTGTTTGGAGACGCACAGGGCAGAGGGGGAATCCTGCCTTCACTATTGCACGCCACACCGGCCCTCAACAGGGGATTATGGTCTGGGGTGCCATTTCCTTTGACAGCCGGACCCCTTTGGTCGTCATTAGAGGTACACTTACTGCACAGCGGTACGTCGACGACACCCTAAGATCTGTTTTGCTACCGTTCCTTTTGCAGCGCCCTGGGCTGGTTTTTCAGCAGGGCAATGTCAGACCACATACGGCACGTGTTGCTATGAACTGTCTGCAAGCTTGCCAAACTGTTCCTCGGCCTGCCAGATCACCAGATCTCTCTCCGATCGAGCATGTCTGGGATATGATGAGAAAGCGATTGCATCTGGCACCGAATGTTGATGATCTCGTTCGACAATTGGATCGAATTTAGCAGAAAATACCGCAAGAGACCATCCGGGAGCTTTATCGGTCTACACCACGCCTTGTGGTAGCTTGTATCCAGGCTAGAGGCGGGTCAACACCTTATTGAACTTATTACTGTAACTCTGCAATAAATTATTCAGTTGTTCTGAAATTTTAATCATTTACTATTCTGCAGATTGTCCTCCTATCCACCAATTTTCGTTTCAATCGGACAACTCCTTCTTGGTGCGTCGATTTTTTTTGTTATAGAGTGTACTTCCGGACTGAAAAAGGGTTAATAAATTACCTTTTCAACTCCCGAGATGGGTCTCAGGGTGTCGATAATCAGGGTTAAAAAGATAAAACTGGTAGCCAAATTATTTTTATATCAGTTTATTTGTGGGCGGGGTAATAATAGTTTGCTTTATTTAATTCAACACTACTTAGTTCAAATTAAAAATTGTATTCGTTGCACTTTTTACCCACGGGGATTGGATGTGTTAGAGTTAAAGTAAAAACAAAAATAAGTCTGCCAAATTAACTTCGCCTTAACTTAAACAACAGCTTTTTATTTCTTATTATTTTGATTCCGTGTGCGATTACATTTATGACTCACCTGTCCCGAAAAGGTTAAAAAAAAGAAACGTTTCACCGAAACATTCGTGAAAGCGATGAGCAAAGAGTTTCAGACCGATTTCACGAAGATTTCCGTTCAATTAAAAATGACTAACAGTAAGTTGAAGTAATTTCACTCCATCCAGGGCTCAACCTGAAGTAACCGATTTCGAATTAATGGCGGACGACCGGCAAGTTTCAACGAACGACGCATCTATAATAGCAGAGGAATATAAAAATTAAATCCAATTTTTTATACGTTGCTGTAAGCTGTGACTTTATCAATAAAACTACACGGCTACAGCTTTTAACTTATTGATAGGAAGCTGCGGTCATTGTTTATCATCATCATCAATATTTATCTTGGCGCCTGGGGCCGTTAGCGGCCTTTTTCTCATTCGTCTTGAATTGTGATCTTTAGGGTGGTTCTTTCTGGTAATTGGAATGCAATTGAAGTAAAAGGAATTTAAATATTTCGAATTTTAGATAAAATTACGTCACTGGTCATTGTTTCTTTCTTTCTTTAATACAAATTGGGTACCTAGGCCGCGCAGCGGCCATTACCCCATACATCATGAAAATTATGCAGTGAATAAAACATTTTGTTTTTGTGACATTGTGGCAACACTTACAAGAATATAAACATGATTTGAAGTATATACTGATTTGAACGGTGATTTACATAAATTGCCATGAAAATATGTAAACAGCCATGATTTGATGTGGTCATTGTTTATAAGGGTTACAATTTAATACGTTCTTTGTAAAATAATTTAAAGAGTGGTAGACAATGAGAAACAAATATTTTCAGATGTTTGGTAACTTTACCAACATTTTAAAAGCCTCGCCACTATATAGCTTGAACAAACTTTTAAACTTTAAACAAAAACTTTTTAATCATTTTCGAGTAATGGCGAGGAAAATAATTATAAATCAAATTTGCAAAGCAAAAATTATACAAAAAACATAAACTGAGCTACCACTAGTAAAATTTTTCCCACAAAGCGTAGAAAGTTTGTAGCCCTGGATTTCTAAAGTCAAAGTACTTTACCCTTTTTTTGATCTTTTCAGTCAAAAATATCTTTAATATACTGTAGATGTAGCCAAAGAAAATTGATTCATTAAATATGTGGATTCCTTTAAATCTTACTGGTAGTGCGTTCTAAATAAAAAATAAAATAATTAGTACAATGTTCTTTATACAGAGTAGTTCTAATTAACAAAGCCCTGTTTAGTACAATAGAGTTTCCGTTATAGAGGATAGATATCTATAAAACTTGTTATATACGTTGCGCAGACCGAAGAAAAAAAATCTGTTATGAATATTGTTGACAATTTGACAATTGACAATTTGACGGACAGATGGCGACACATGCACACGCACAAAACGTTATTATAATTTGGAACGATTTAAAAAGCAATTCATCATGGCAAGTTTCATTAACATCTGTCTATTACAATAGACTTTATAATAGTCTGAGAAAGGAAACATTAATAATTACTTTCCTTTATTTGAATAAGGAAAACAAAAAAAGCAAATAAAATAATAATCATATACGTAATAGACACTTATAACATTTCCTCTTAATGTAATCTCGCTTTGTGCATACACCTTCACGTTTTAATTTTGGCTTCTAGAAAAATTATGGTAAACTTGGAAAGGCTGTATAGGGATTAGACAAATTTATGGTTCACTAACTCTATTTAAACAATCATTCCTTTAGTAGAAATGCTTTGGAAGTTTCGTGACAAAACTGTTAACACATTTTGAAACTTTTAGAAATGGATTCCTTTTTTATCGTACCAAATTTGTATCGACCAAAATGTGGGCAGGAGTTCAATAATTTTCTTTTATCTTTAATGCCAGAAATTTTGAAACTATCCTTTATTCGTTCGTTCGTTGTAGTGGAACTGGGCGTCTGAGGCCTTACGGCCCTTTTCCCATTCATCTTGAAGTTAACTTAGAGACATACATGACAAAATTAAAGTTTGGGGAGCAAATGGAGTTCTTGAGAAAAGAAAAATGGCACTTTGCCATTATTAGGCAATGACAATATTATAAGTAATAAAAATGTACATGAAAACTGTCCTTTAGGATAGCAAGTTTTAAATAACAATGCCTTTTTTTAAAAAGTATTGTGGTATAGAAAAAGGAAAGCTGGTTTTTACTGTTTATTAACATTTTGGTCGATGCTGATCTTGCATGGGTCAAAAGGTCGCTTTCTAAAAGCCTCAGGCATGATCTTTCAAAATTTACCAATGGTTTTGCCAAGTGAAATCTTCCAAATGAAACATTGTTTAAATAGAGTTAGCACAGGAGTGTTTCCCTATTTTTGGCCAACCTCTGTAGTTCATAGCTCATTGATTGGTTGATTACAAATTACGGTGATTTCATTTCCAAAAGCACTCTGCTTTTATTAAATTTTGTGTCTATGAAGGTGATATCTTGGAATCAAATTAAAGTAATGCCACAAATGATGGCTGTAGTCAAAGCCATCTATAACTGAAATCCTCCACACGATTTCTTATAGGTATCATATCACTATGAAGGTAAACTAGTTTACGAAAGAGCCATTTAATGGAATATCTTGTAAAAATAAGAAAGTGATAGCAAATATACGTCTAAACATTTTTTAATTTATGAATATAATTGGTTTGTTTTATTTATTTGTCTACCACCAAAGATTCAATTCTCAAATATATATGCTAACTTTCTCTCGATTATTTTCAAAATAGGATTTGATTTCATGCGTATCACTGGTTCACTTATTAAATAGTCTGCGCAGACTTCTTATAAAACACCGTGTGGGGGTTTTCTGATGTACGAGGTGATACTATAGTCCTCCTTAGAATGCCTACCGTTTCAAGAAATGTCTTTTTCGCGGACTTTTTTTAAAAAATTAATTCGGTTTCCTCCATATCAGAATCGTCGGAGAAATTGCTCCTTTAGTCTAAGAAAGTGGATCCTAACAATTAGTTAGCAAAACAATACGAAGTGTGCTAATGCATTTATTTGGCAATTATTTAGAAATGCATCAACAAAAGATGTAGATAACATATCAATTGTTTTTGTTTTGTTTGTTTGGCAAAAAGAAAATGCAATGAGCAAATAACGGGTATAGCTGTCGAGTAAAACGACGAAAATAATATTTTTCTTTATCAGACCTAAGGCAAAAAACGTAGAGTTCATCACCTATGTAATAAATTTCTATCTTCATCAACCTTCGCCTTTCAACGCTGACGCGTAGTATTTTTTCCGTTTTAGGTTTTGTCAAAAGAAAAAAAAAAGTTCCGATATCTGAAAATTTCTATTTGAAAACAGAAGTTTTCAAAACTTTTATTTTATTTTAATTAAGCAAGAACAAAACTTACGAATATACAAGCATAAAACGCGGTATTATAAAGCGAAAATATTACTAAAACTTTTAAATTTTTTCCAGGTATAGTTCGTTCACCAGGAGTTGGCACTTGTCTCCACCTCCTGGGACGAACAGTTCATTTCAGCTCGGGTCTAAGAGGAGAAACGTTCCCGCACTTGAAATTGAGACAACCCTTAATGCCCGCCAAACGCAAACAGTGAATTCTTTTTCCGTCACTTACTTCGCTTTAACATCAGCTATTATATATTTCGTTACTCTAGCTAATTAAATATAGAGCAGCAAAATGTCTCAAAAGGGACAAACTATTCACTCAAAGGAGAGAAATATCATAAAATTTGTGAAATATTTAATGTTAAAAAAATGCACTTAAGGATTGCGAAATAAACATTTTTGTCATACAATCGCCAAATAACAATCCTGTTCAGGATTGTTCACATCCTTCTCCCAAAAATAGCAAAATAGTATCGTTGAATACCACGTGATGCGCCAAGTGCCAACTCCTGGTAAACGAACTAAACGTATGAACCCTGGGAAAAAAATGATCGTTGTTTTCCTTTAATTCTTTAAATCAAAAAAAAAAAAAGACAACTAAAACATTACTTACTCTGAGAGCATAAGAGAGCAATTGAATATATCTAGGTGTAATTTGGCGTATGTGTTTCATAGAAGCACCTTGCATATCAACTAGAGCTTGAATTCCACACACTTGAGTTGCTGGATCTTCTATAGTACATAAAATCGTCGCAGTCATTACAGTAAGGGCTGTTCGAAAGGTGAAAATATCAGGATCCCATTTGGCTGTAATTACATAAACCACTAAATAATTTAGAGAAATATATGCATAATACAAAAAAGGTCATGTAACTTTATAATACGCGAAACAATATAGAGACAACATTCCGGTGGCAACATTAATAGTTGCCACCGGACACAGGGCAACTGAGTATGAAACATTTAAATTAAAAATTTGCTTGTCCGCCAGCCGATCATTACATTTTCGAACGAAAATTATCACCGAAAAATTCTGTTTTTTTTTGCGCAGGTTGATAATTTAAGGATGTCTGATTTCGGATATGAAACTTAATTTCATATTACTTTTAAATTTAGGGTCGATGTTTAAAAACAATTTACCTAATTAATATAATTTCATTATTTAGATTACAGGTGAATCAAATCTATTTTGTAAGAAGCAAATTTTATATTTGATAATGAACATAAATTTTATGTTCACTATCAAATTTATTTTGTAAGAAACAAATTTTATGTTTGATAATGAACATGTTGCGTTATTTGTTCAAAAACTCAAACCCTAAACTTTATTAGTTGTAAATTTAACATTTCAATTTTACAATACTTGGGGAGGCAAGGAAGATTTTTCTTTGGTTTAAAAGTAAACCCTGTAGCATTTTCCACATTTTGAGAAATGCATCAGAAGAATTGCTTTATATTAATAATAACAATAGTTAATTTTTAATGGTTAAGAATTTTCCATTAATTTAAAAATGGTCACTATCGAAAATGCTACTACTGGCTACTGATCTGTAACAAGATTTCAAAATTTTCTATTTGTGTTTTAGAAGGTAGGTAGCAACTTTATTTGGCTCTAGTGTAGAATCGGGGGCTCCTTAGTTTGGCGATAATTTTCTTTCAGTTTTGCTGATATCCCATTTCTAGTTACTATGATATATTTTGTGGTCTTTGCTTTATATGACGTCACGAGCATTAATTGAGCATAAAATTTTTTAAGGTTTCTTTTCTAATGTCTTTCTGATTTCAATACAACATACTTGCATGAAATACCGAAACTTCTTTCTGTCCCTCGAACATTTTTTGTCGTTTAAACCTCAGCACTGATGGTTTTACTTAAATGGTCATCTGTGCTTTGTACATTGTCTTTCCGTTTTTTTAAAAAAATATTGTGAGTGATTATGTAACGTTAGTTAAGCATAAGTTTCCTTACCTATTTTCAAAACAATAACGATGCTGCCATTGTCATCTCTATATGGCAAACAGCTGGAACCACCACAATCTAATAATTTTTTCAAAGTGTCAAGGTCCAAGTTCTCAGGATACACATCAGAGAAATTCTTTTTTACTGTGTAAAGATTGTGCAAACGCTCCATTGCATTTTTGACATTAAATTTCCTTGCTCTCAGATATTGCAATAAATAAGCATCATCTGTCCAACAGTCTAGATCTGTTTTTTCTGCAAGACGAACAATGATTATTGCTGAAATTTAAATAATTGTTATACAAAAAAAAAGAAAATGATTTAAAAACAATCTGGGGCCGTACCATGAGCTACCGGGAATGGAATGAAGATTCCCGGCTGGAAAGTGAAACTGGGAAAGTTTGGTTCCATGAATGTTCAATACCGCACCATGAACACTCCCTTGGAATCAGACATTCCACGATAACTCGCTCTCAGGGCGTGGCTAAAATTTAACCAATCACACAATTTACTTTAGATTTTCTTTTTGAGTTTGGCAGCATTAGCATGACTAAAACGAAACGAGCTTCTGCTATTTAGATAATATTTTTGACGATTTATTGTTTTCTTTTTATAATGTTTTTTGTTTTCATAAGACTAAAAAAAACATAAACTGCAATGACTTTGAAATATTCTTTAATTTATTATACATATAGTTTTAATAATTAAAGACTGTCATATTTAACATGTATAATTAATAGAATAAAATCATTTTTTCATAAATTATTTCTGATATATCCTTTAATACGCTTCACTATTTGTTTTAAATATTTTTTAAAAAGTACAACTCTTAAAATAATGATCATATTTTAATGAATTAAGATTCAAAATTTCGTGCCCGAGTACTGCATGTAGATAGATTACTAATTATGCTAGTTTTTAAATAAAAACTAATTGCCAGAAAGAAATAATATTTTATCAGACAAAAAATTAGCGTTTACCAATCGGTCAAGAGACCGATTGGTAAACGTTAATTTTTAGTTAATTTCTAAGAAGAAATTAACTTAATTTCAGAAAAGTTCATTAGTTTTCAATTAAATTTGTAACAATATGAATGATTAAAGTTACTACTTTGCTTATTACTTTGGTTTATTTGTTACAATATTAAAGTGACTGTTTTTACTGATAGTTAAATAAATATGTTCACAACAAATTAATTTATAGATTTGTGTAAAAATTTTTTTCGTGATTCGTAAAATTATTTCACGTTTGAAATATTTAAAAATTATAGTTCAAGGAACTACTTTCACAGCTTTTATAGTATATATTTTAATGGAAGAATGAGAATAAAGAATTTTAAAATGAGTAAAAGAAGAAATAAGTACATATTGCATAAATATTTTTCGAAGCATTTTTATTCTATTTTCTTTTCCCATTATTCTTTTTCGCATTTCTTATTATAAATAAATTGTTTACTTTGTAATACATCATACCTGTAACAAATTCCTTTAAATTTGCTGCTATCTGTATACAGTATAAAAAAACTATCTTTCGGAATGAGGTAAATACTGTTGAATTAAAAGTTCATCGAAAGAAAATTAAGAGAAGAAATTATTAGAACTTCAAAAAAAGGTATTGGTCAAGTAGTATATCCTAGGTAATATAACATAAAAATAGTAACAATTATCATATAATAAGAGCATAATTATATTTAGTTTGTCGTAATTTCTTAGTTAACTCTGAAAGTATCTTTTCGTTCATACATACTAATAAAACAAAACATCTCTTAATTATCGTCTTGAAAATGGCTCGGGCGCGTTTATCTTTAGAAATTTTGAAATCTTCCCTTATGAAATAGAAAATAATTAAGGCATTCATCGGCGGAATATCGTATTTAGCTCTCAAAAATTCACCATTCCATCCAAGAATGAGGATTCCGGGCAGTAGTCACCGGCTGGAAAGAAAACCGGTTGTTTCTTGCCAAGAAACTCTTTGGTAGGGTCCCTGTATCATAATCACGAAAAATTACTTAGATGGTGTATCAAGACCTTACGAGGGTTAAATCCTTCAAATAAAGTACATTGCTTAACAGGCTGCACCATGTTGCAAAATTCGTTTAGCGTCATCCAGATTTTTTTTGTAGAAGAAATGCAAATAAATTCTGTAGGGTACATACCATATTGTATTCATATGCAAAAATCGTTTAGTGTAATTTAAGGGGACTCAAACTCTCTGCAAGCCATCTCTCGCCAAATTCTTGGAAAAATTAAAAAGAAAAAACATTATAAACAGCAGACCAATTTTGGGTTTACGACTACAAACTACGACTATTGAACCACTCCAGAAGACAAAGAAACTCCTTGATCAGTACTCCCAGAGGTATGATTTGTTATGGGAACATGGAGGACTTTGAGACTCGACAGATTTAACGTGAATCAGTCACCATTTACTACAGTCTTCGGCCGGCGAGGATCGAACCCACGACCTCCTGGACACATGGGCCCAGTGTCCTACCTACTAGGCCATCCCGGCCTCCCGGATGTTTTACTTTACTTTATAACCGTCGTTGAACAGCCGACCCAATTTTATGGGTTTACGACTACTAATCTTCAACTCCGTAGCCTTGTAATTTTTAACCCAATCCAGAAGACGAGGGAGCTCCTGGATCGAGTATTGGGAAAAATGTGCCTTCGTAGAGGACTTTTTGATGGAGCTAACCCGTATTTGCGTTACATGGAGAGTAATACCACGAGAACTTCCTACGGTTTGCCTGACGGCAAGGGGACTCTAACTCATGATCCGTCTACCACTGAGGATATTTCACGTCAGCACTGTGGTCGGTGCAATCCTGGATGCGGAATTCGTATCGACTGGGATTCGAACCAGGTTCGCAGCATTGGAAGGCGAGTGCTCTATCCTTTAAAATTCGTTTTCTGGCTACTACTTCCGACTGATTTTTACACCTAAGTTTTTAACTTATATGCATTTAAGGAAGGGTAAATATCCAACCACTTTTCTTTTTTGTAGAGGCAGGCACTTTTTGCATCCTTGCTTTGTGGGGTGCGTTGTTTTGTGGGGAGAATTTTCTGTGATAGCTAATATAAAATCTTCAGAAAAATCCGAAAGGTAAGGCAGTTAAGCCTATTTTTTTTAACTTTAAATATCAGTCTAATATGACTTTAATGTCTAATATGACTTAAATATGACTTTAACATAGTACTAAAGGCAGTTGTGTAATAAATCCAGGAACACGCTGTGGAACAAAATATTAAAAAAGTCGTAGAAATTTAGAAAAGTCATCTTACATCATTTTTCTACAACTTTTCCGACGACCATACATATTGGCCGCTATGTAATACTTACTGGTCTACTATGTAATACAAAGTCTTAGAAATTTAGAAAAGTCATCTTACATCATTTTTCTACAACTTTACCGACGACCATACATATTGGCCGCTATGTAATACTTACTGCTACTATGTAATACATACAAAGTCTCAGAAAATTAGAAAAGTCATCTTACATCATTTTTCTACAACTTTTCCGACGGCCATACATATTGGCCGCTATGTAATACTTACTGGCTATCAATCTTCGGAATTCCGCTAAAGCGGGACCTCGAATTTCATCAGTTTCATTTAATTCTTCTTTGGCTTTATTAATCATCCAGTCTGTAAGATATCCCATTCGATAAGGCAGAAAAGCCTTAGTTGCCATGATTTCGTCGTATTTTGAGCTCATTTTCTTGCGAAATTTGCTCTTGGAAAAAACAGCTAAAAGCAAGAAATTAATTTTTTAAAACAAATTTTGAAAAAGAACTTGTAATGCATAGTTTCCCTTCAATATGTATTTTTCCGCTTGGTTTCATTTATATGTTTACAGATTAAACGCATTAATAAATACACGATAATCTTTCGTAGGTGTGTGTTTAACCCTTGACAATTTAAAAAAACTCGCTCTGCCAACATTGGTTGTTTCTTTACCATTTTTGAAAATTTTCCTTGGAAAAAAAAAACTTGTTTTACTTTTGCTTTTTTATTAGCTACTTTACTTTAATTCTAGCAAATCTAATCATTTATATTTTAAATAATGTGGCTGGGTCGCGCAGTTGGTTTGTCGTCGGCCTTCTGAGCCCAAGTCTGCGGGTTCGATCCCCGGCCCAGACACCGGATTTTCGGGATGCAGAAAATCCTCAGCGGCCATGTCATATGATTATGCGGCATGTAAAAGATCCCTGGAGTGCCTTATTGGCTCTTGGCATTTCCGGCAAAATTAAATTCCTAGTGCACTTTAGCATCCAAATAGAGTCTCGGTGCTGCCATCTAGTGTGGCAGAAACTAGACGTCCAAATTAACATGACCAACGGTATCTCACCCATTGTGGTGGTCCTGAAAGAGTGGATACCA